GGCGCAGCCGCTAGAGGGCGCGCGGTGCGCACAGGCCGCCCGGGGAGCCCGAGCGGGGCTGGGAACCGACAGACGTCAGTGTCACACCGCTGTGGGTGCCAGGGAGCGCCTGCGAGGTCAGAAAGCTTGCAAAATAAAGGCAAACTTGGTGAAACCTGGGAGCACTCAAACCACTGCAAATTCAGGAAGTGCCCTTGCTGCCTCTGGTAGGATACAGTCAGCTCGGAAACCTCGGCTGAGAATTCCACGACTGAGCCACAGAAAAAATCTGAAAGTGAGGTGATGGACCCTGCAGGTTAGGGTACAGGAATCTCTGTGGAGACAGCCTTGCTGAATACAGGACGCTGTGTCATGTACAGAGAATAAAACAGCACTGCCAGCCAGGCAGCAGATTTTTAAAAGCTAAATTAATTTGTGTTTTATACAACAGAAGCTTTCTAATAAAGAAGTACAGCTCGGAACCACCCATCTAGTGTTCTGTCAAGCAGGACACTATCACATGAGGCTGCCTGTGAGGGAAAAGTTTCTTTCCTTTTCTACTCTCATATTATTAAAAAATGTTAGGAAAATACACTTATTAGAGAATCCAGATAATTAATATAATGCACTAAAGGCTCAAGGGTTTTTTTCCTCAGCTTTAGTCGCTTGTTAAGTACACGACTTAAAATTTCCATACAACATTTTAATTCCAAATAAACTATTTTCTGCTGCTATACTTGGCTGAATGACCCATAAGGCAGATCTATATTTATTAATAAAACTTTGTTCCATAAATCTTTAGGAACACCTTCAAAAGCATGAATAGCATTTAGACATCTGAATTCCACTCTGCTTTCTCTTTGTCTTTTCTACCCTGACCCTTCACACATGTCTGTTCTCCCATTTTAGCACATGACAACTAGAGGCCTGGTGACTTGTCTCAGTTCTGCAGTTGCTGTTTTTGCAGGTTAGGCCACTGGAAAGGCAGGCATAAAATGAACAAGAACAGTGGCCACTAACAACATTGGGCTATGCTGAGGGACTTGAGTGTTAGGTCTTCTGTGAAATTTGCTTTGTTTAATAACGTCTAAACCCAGCTCTTTACAAATTGAACTGCTGGACCAATCAGTCTGCTTCGTATCATACTTACTGCATTAATAGTTTGATGTAAGATGCTACTTGAAAAGTCTTTAACATACAGCTGAGATAAAATCAGATTATATGTGCTACCTGAGCAATCAATGATGTGGAATATAAGGTAGTTTATACTTTGGTTATCATCACAACTTTCATGTGTTCCAGAGCAAATTTTTTTTTTTTTTTCACAAGTGTGTACTTAAAACATTTGCTCTCACTAGCAGCGACTGACAGCATTTTACCTGTGCTCTTGCAGGATTCAGAAAGTGAAATATTACCGTGTTATTCACAAACCTCAGCCTCAGTTCTGGACTGTATTTCAGCACACACCTAAATACTTTAATTGAACAGCCACACCTTTCTAAATTGAAACCTTAGTCTGGAAGACAAACATTCTTCAAACATTGTTTGGCAATGTCAATGCTGGGCACCCAAATCATGCTCTGTAGGGTTTAAATGCAAGCACTATGTAAATAAAGGTGAGCAACATGACAAACTTATTGTAGGCCAGTATTCCAAACTCAACACCTGGCCTAGGAAGGAAAAGCACTGTCTTCTGTGGGTTTAATGTAGATCTTTTAATAACTCCCACAAGAATATTAACAACCATTTGACTGAGACAAAGCTGGTAGCACAGCCTTTATCCTCATTTTTAATTCTCATTTTTACTTATCTGTAACTGAAGTTACTTGAACACAAGCCAGACACAGTATTTTTTCTGTAACAACAGATTATATTGCAGAGAACTGCACTCTGCAACGTAAGGACATTAAAAAGTAAGCCTTCTTGTCCCTTCCTCTCTGCAAAATTTCTTAAAGGAACATAAACAAAAATAAAACAAGCAAAATTCCGTATCATCTACTTGCCTCTAATTAAAAGAAGATAGCAAAAAGAGAAAAATTTAACTTGGAATACCTGATTTTTCAAACTATTTTTAGGTTTTCATAATGGAATAATTAGCAAAGGTGTTGCTTAAGCAAGCAAAATCACATTTTAAATGCCTGACTGCCTAAGTAAGTAACAGAATCTTAAAGCCATTTCTCTAACGTCCTGTTCCAGTTTGCTTATAACCAGTTCACGCAGCATGCGCTAACTCGCACCTCCGGTGTTGGAAAGTCAAGAGTTATGGAATTCAGCCCTAGTGTAATCATTCAGAGAAAATTTTAAAGTAAAACGTGCTAATTAATGTGGTCATTATAAGGCTCTTAGGGAAATTATCAAAACTTGCTATGTTCAAAAAAGTATCTGGGTCCAAATTCACTTCAGCCAGTGGCAAGAACAGCCCTCAGATTAGACTGATGCTTTGGTTTCATATTTCCCAGGTACAGGTAGAGAGCAGAAGAAAATCAGCCTCATCACTTTTTGTTAGAAAAGAGGAGTACTGAGGTAATGAAAAAGAAGACAAAAAGTTCAAAAATAATCTGCAAATAAATACTCTGTTTGCTCAGCACAGCTTGTTAATCAGTATTCAAAGGGTTCTTTTACAAGGACTGAAAACAAAAGCAAACTAGAGCTGATTAAGTTCCATAAGGTATTCACCATGTACCTCGATTATGGTATTGTGCACGTCACAGAAGAATGCCCGTACATGCTCACAGCTGTACTGAAGCAGCATTCTCACTAGCACCTGGCTAAATTGTCACTTTAATCCAAAGGATACTATTAAGACAATTAAAATGGAAGTTTTTCTCTCTCATTACCTAATTCTGCCATGGACACAGTTGGAGAGGTCTCCCCATTTGTAAAAGAACAATAAGGGAAGAAGCCCGATGCTGGTGTGTAGTCACATATTGGTTCTGGTTTGATTCCATTAATATCAAGACCCGACTGATCTGGAGAAGGCTGTATGTCTAAGTAGAAGCTGCTAACTGCAGAGTCTGCTTTGCTACCTTCAGGGGTATGCCCATCAATGTAATTACTGAGGTCATCGTGTAGCTCTGTTAACCCATTGGTAGTGATATTGTATGTTGGTGTTAGTGGTTCTGCCTCTCCTGGCTGCTGCTGATGATCCCGCTGCTGCTGCTGCATTCGATGTTTCTGCACCTCCGCGTACAGGCTGTCCCTCTGCTTTTTTGACATTCGACCAAACTTTACAGCTGAAATACAGACACACAATATATTACATTTCTACAAATCCACTACTGCATTTTAATTGTCTTGAGTCTTTAAATACTACACGAAGGACACAGTATAAAAGGCAAATCAGCAGGGTGGGCAGACCCAAGAATCACTTCTGTCAGTTACAGGTAACGTAGCTGCAGCATCTCCTCTTCAGAACACCATTTTAACATGCTATGTACATGGACCACTAGAAGTCACTGTTTTAGCTTAATTAATTAACTTTCCATTTCTATACTGAAAAAGATTTTCACTTCTACATCCAACAAACTTGACAGATGTATCTCTTCAGCATTCAAATCCCAGCTGGAAAAGTAGAAGCTACAACAGAATATGCTGGCCTGAGACGAACCGTCCAATTCCTGCCAGCTGTATGTACATCTTACAGCGTGAACCTAGAGTTAGGTATGATAAACACTTGGGGTCTATCTCAGAGAGTATCAAAAGCAAGCTTTATCGATGCTAGGACCGAAGCACATGGGAGGAACCACAGAACCTGCTTTCGGTGCAGCTTCCTGTAACAAGGAGAAACGTTTACCTGATGAATCAGTGTTAAAACTGTGTGTACGTGTATGTGTGTATGCATGTGTGCATGCACGTGTGTATCTCTCCACAAAATTATTACTACTTTGAGAAGTGTTACTATTAGGCGTGAGCCAGAAGCAACTGGTTTGGCACATCCAGGGAATTCCAAGAAAATGGTATGTGATTTCTGGGATCTGGATCAGCTGTAAAAGATCTGGTTAGGAAGATGACTACCACCTTGTACTTTTCTACAGGAAAGCAAACATGTCCGAGGGACTAATCATTACATGATCAACTGTTTCGGGTTTTTAGTTTCATGCCCAATAAAAAAAAATAAGACAACATAATTCAAGAAGTAAATGTAATCTGAAAACAATCTCCTTAATCGGGCCTCATATACATTGTAATGCATATGTATTTGTAGAACATGGAGCGTTGCTGTCACTATTGCAAAAAAAGTCAGATCTTCAAATTTGGGAAGGGATGGCAGCTTCATTACGTCTATGGGGGAGGTATGCAAGTATCAGCTGCAAATCCAGCTCTAATTGAGTTATATAAGCTTCCATTTTACAGAAGTGGGTTTTCATCATTACACTAGGTGTAATTTTGAGCTTAATATTAACAGCACTGGAACACATTTTCTTCAGTATTCTGTCTTTGAAAACACACTGCACTATTTTCTCTCTGCATTTTTTCCATTATTCATTATACACACTTTTCAGCTTCTCTGTATATTGTGAAACAGTTCTGATCCGTACCAATATAGCAGTGTTACTTGCAACTATAGTATATCACTTAAGTTGGAATGAACATATTAGATAAAATATTAACATTAGACTAAAAACTGCATCTTCAAGAAGTGACAAGAGGCAAAGCTCGTAACTGGGAACTATAACAAATGAGTAGGAAAAAGAATAAATCTAAGAACTTCATACATGCCCTGATTTATGTCTATTTATGTGAATATATAGCAACATATAAAAACCACTCAATCTCAACTATCAGCCCGATGCACAATTAACTTTCATATCCTATGTTGGTTTAGTTGAACACACATATACTGAACGTTATTGCACTTTCTGGAATTAATCTGTGTGTCGGCAAAGCTTACCATCTCGAGACATCCCCACAGCAAGGCATTTCTGTAATCGACAGTGTTGGCAGCGGTTTCTACTAGTTCGGTCAATCAAACAGTTCTTCTGACGAGGACAGGAGTACGTAGCATTGCTTTGCTGACTCCTTCTGAAAAAGCCCTGCAATGGAATTGCAAAATACAAGTCAAGGAGTTGTTAACTGATGGAGCAAATAAAGACTCTGAACAATAGCATACCTAACAGAAACTGAAATTCAGGTGCACTGTAGTCAACTAAAGGAAGTTGAGAGGTTTGGTTTTTTTTCCCTCTCGTAGAAACAAAAACCAGTAACTAGTAGGAAACAGTTCATTAAAAAAGCATTATGACATGTAAAGGAATTATACATTTTTTTCACTCATTTTACAGATCCCATACTACATATGGCACACCAATTATTTCCAAAAGAGAGAAAACTAATTACAGATCTAGATTTCTGAGATATCCTATCTTTCCTGGGTCAGCATAGATCTCCAAAATAGGGAAGATTCAACAGCCACTATGCTGTTCTGCTCTTTGGAGATGACAGCAGCAGGCTCTGATTTTCAGCCTCACAAATTGAGGTATGTGTTTAAAAATACAGAGCATGATGCTGGGCAGTTCCTTCTACAAAGAACATTTTTAAAAAATATTTTTTCTTAATTGGTTTGATGCTGATAACCAAGGTTTTGTTCAGCTTGATGCAAGGGTTTAGATTTGTAAAGAGGGGGGAAGCTGAAACAGATTTTGTGTATTATCTTTTCTGAGTAAACTGCAATGAGTAGACCCATCTCCAAAGAAAGTTAGTGCTGGAAGGTTACGCAGCAGTTACAACTTAGTTCTCTCCATCAGAATGCTGCGTGCTATTAACGACTACGCCAGCTGTTTGCTTTGAAGTTCTTTTCATCTTTTTGCCACAGACTGTCCAAACAGAAGCTGGTGTGTGTGTAATACCTGCTTCACAAGGATGCTGCAAAGATGTAGTCATTCTAAAGAGGCATTTGAGATCAGTGAGCACAGTATTTTAGTTTTATGTTGCCACATAATGGATTAATTAACAGTGCTGCAAAGAAAATACATCCTCAGAAAGGCTGGGTGACTGGGCACCTTTTAATTAAAGGTGGACTTTTACCAATTTTTTTATTTATTTGAAGGCCACATTCTGGAGTCTCTTGGAACGTGGACACTCTGTCCAGACACTTGGCGAAATAACAGGAAGGACTTCTGCATGACAAGAGGCTTCCTAACAAACTTCCTGCAGACAGAAACATGACAAACACTGAGCCCCCTGATCCAGGTTATGAGGAGGGTACGAGTCTGTCAAATACGCCCCTTTTATTAAACCTTTAATAGGGAAACATGGAGTATAAAAACAATGAGGAAACTGTCTTTAATCCTGTTTTCCTGTACATTGTTTCTCACCCATTGATTCTGGTCTTTGTTTCTATATGATTAAACTTTCAACTGTCTTTTAATGGTTGTCAATAGTGAGATGAACATCACTGAGACTGGAGGTACTGCACATACTGAGCTCTGATCAAGTGCATTTCACCCTAAAGGGAACCTGAAATAACACGGAAATTTCTACCATTCCAACATCATGACTGATCCCTCTGGAGGAACCAACTCTTAGGTAAGTAGGTAGCTTAATTTCCAGTTCTGTTAGCACCCTCAGTGGAGCCTGTCGCTCCAGCGCAAATACACAGGAAAGTACCATGCATTTCACTAGAAAAATGGGATTAGGTATCGACCTGACCAATGGCTTACCGATCAAGGGTCTGCATCTGCACGTTACCAGTCGCTTAACATTTCAGTTCTCCAAACTCTTTAACAGTTGCACTGAATGACATGCTCACATGTGAACTGTATGAAATCTTCTGCCACCACTGAGATCCTGAAAGTCAGCTTAATCAATCTGTAAAATGAACCTGTCCCAATAACCTCTAAGATCCACACGTCTGCTTTAGCTGGGACATACACTGAGTCTGTATTGCCAGTCTGGCATACTTCTCTTTATTAAGAATATTCTTGTCAAGCTGAGGATTATTTTTAGTAATCTAATGGAGAAAATACTGGTCTTTTTGCTTTTCCAGATTTTCCCTAGAGACACAGCTGCTCTGTACATTTAAGAGTACAATACACCAGCTAAGTTACAGCTTGAAGCTAAATTTTCAATAGAGCAGAACTGCCTGAAACTTGGGCCTTTAAAAGCACTTGCAGTTTTCAAACCAGAGATGTAGTAGAGTGCTTTTAAAAACAAACCCTACAACTTTATGTGGGCATGTTGAAAACATCAGCAGTAGCTAAAGCTAAAAACCCCCTTGCCTTAAACTTCAGAAATGAATCTAAACTTGTCTAGAGCTCAGAAATAGACATATCTGAGATTTGGGACTGGATTGACAATAAGTTAAATTGAAGGGTTTTTTACACTCAAAGTTCTTCTCTATTGTCACTTGTGAGTTTTCTGACCTTTTGGTGGTCTTTGGGCTCTCACGTCGTTCATTATAAGACATGGGGGGAAGTCCCTATTACAGAAGCCTTCTATAAGTAAATATAAGTTTCTTCCTAGGTTGTCCTTTTTCTCCCTTTTATTATGAGAAGGAGAGATGCTGTATTCTATTTCCTCTCTTTTGCCAGAGGCGCAGAGCTAACTATAATTCTTCCACCAGGAAGGAGGAGGTGGATGCATGCATGCATGGTACACATGCATACATTCAAGCACTATGCAAACCAGCCCAGGCCACACGCTCTAAATTGCATACACGTTCCCAATCATTATTTCACATTCAGACAATGGCCTAATGGGCCACAGGCAGAATGGACCCCTCTTGATCAAACACATGAATGAAACTACTGCTGCACTAAAACATGTCACCGTGTGACAGCCCGGTGGCCAAGGGCACGGTCTGAACCAAGGTCTCTGGTAGAGAGCACTCCTGTGAGTGCACGGAGCCCTGCCTCCCTCTGATGTCAGGAGAAAATTCGGCTGATTTTGATGAGGCGTCATTGAGCTTTGCATGTCTCTCTTTTTATGTAGATGTATTAACAGAGTGCCAGGAGAAGAGCAGAGCAGATTACAAGCCATAGCTTCATCTCTGCGTTTCAGACTCCTATTTATATACAACACAATATATGGTTTTTCATATGCTGCCAATAAATCAAATTTGGGAAAAAAGGGCACAAGAACTTTTCATCTGCAAGTCAGTTTGAATAACAAGGTGTTAGAAAAGAACTTTGAAATGTAAATAGCAGTTTTTGCAAAGTCTATTAATAGTTTTAATAACTTCACTGCTCAGTGGCTTGGTATTACAGATGTGTGTGTCTAAGCTCGCTCCTTAGCGGGGGAAAGCCAGTTGTGCTTCCCTCATGTCCCAAACGGCACAGCACAGACTCCCTCTCCACTGGGGCACAAGCTGAAATGCTGATCTCATGTTTGGTCTTTTGACAAATTTTCATTTAATGAATTGATTCCTACAGTTCATTAACATACCCACTTCCACTTCTGTATACACATATGTCTTAATTAGCTGCTCACTGGCTGTTTAATTACAAGAAAACAGCTGACAGCTGCCTCGCTGCATCCTAATGGCAGACGTTTTGGAATGACTGTATGCAAGTCTGTGACAACAAAGGCTTATTCATAATCCCATGATTTATGGCTAATACTTAAAGACTTCCACGTATCATTAAGTTTTGCAATATTCTGAGCAATTAACAATCAGTTGGGGGGTTCATTCTTCTACTGTTTTCTAAAGCATACTATCGCAAATTTTCTTCAAAGAAACATCAGAAAAATACACTGTCATGGAAGACAGGTGAGCACTGAAACTGGATTTTTAACCATTTCATGACAATGAGAACATATTTTAGCTGTAAAGGGAAGAGAATGCTGTGACAACATTGTTTAATGGCCTTTGTTAATAAGGTATTTGATAACAAAGTTAAAGTGCCACTGGAAACTGAAAAAAAATTCAGTTTTAGGTATGTAATAATGATGGGAGTTAGACTGTGTTTATCAGGTTACACAAGGCTTCTGACTAGCCCTTTCTGGAACATGGCTCATCTCTTTTCTAACATGTTTTGTTTGAAATTGTCTGGGCAAAAAATGAAGAAAAACTTCAAAAGCATGAATTTGAGGTAAATGTTGTAATGCCAAGATGAAACTCCATGTTTAACAGAGTAACAAAAGATTGGCTAGTAAAGAAAGTGAATAAATGAAATGAATGAACAAAAGTAATGCAAGATGGGAGGTGACAATACACCAGCTATTGTTTCCTGAAGTAACAAAACACGGACATTCCTTGTAGTTACAATGAACGAGACCATCTTCGGTCTTAAAAGACACAAGAGACAAAAGCCAGTACCTATAAACCTTTGAAAATATGAGAAATGCCCAGAAATACCCTGCATGGATGGTTCAAAGAATCACAGGGACCTTAAAGCCCATCGAATTCCAACCCCCTGCCATGGGCAGGGACACCTCCCACTAGCCCAGGTTGCTCAAAGCCTCATCCAGCCTGGCCTTGAACCCCTCCAGGGATGGGGCATCCACAGCTTCTCTGGGCAACCTGGGCCACTGCCTCACCACCTGCACAGTAACAAATTTCTTCCTCATATAGAATCTAAATCTGCCCTCTTTCAGGTTGAAACTGTTAGCCCTTGTCCTATCGCTGCACTCCCTGATCAAAAGTGCGTCCCCATCTTGCCTGTCAAGTTTTATGAGACCAACTGCACACAGTCAAGTAATGAGAGGGATCACACTGCTGCATCTGTGGGTCAGCTGGGCATGAACTAACACTACTGACAGAAAAAGCAAGTAATTAAAAAAAAAAAAGTTCATTAACAGAAACTTAATTTCAAACTAAATGCTTTGCTGTGTGCTTTTGAAGCATTCACATATTTTCTGACAAGGCTGATCAGGATTCAAGTTTAAGCTACGAGAGAAAAATACCAATGTGTACAAACCAGTCTCCTTTCTCAGCATGGTCCCTAATACAGAGCAAAAGTTTGTTAAGAGGTTCCCACAACTAACGGTTGAGGAAGTACTCCATACAGATACTAGTTTTTTCAGTAGTGCTACTACAATAGCAATACTTCCAATCTTACACAGGAGAATAAACTTTTATTTCTGAGCTGCAGTATGGTCTTTGTGTCATTCTTCATCCATGCTTCTGAGTACAAGTCTTCTATGACTAATCTCATATTCCCTTTTCCCCAGTAAATGTTGTATACTGGGTGTCAGCAATGGTCTGATACAAAAAACCCCTCTTTAATTTTTTTTTTTTTCATTTATAATAAGCCACAGGAGCCCTCCTAGATGGAAGTATAAAACAGAGCCTGTCTAAAAATGTGGTTTGTTTTATTTTTTTTTTTTCCACTGGGGGGGAGGAAGAGAAGGGGGTATTAAGTTTTATCGTTTAAAGGCAGATTGAAATTCAGCTAAATAGGCAAATGGGTCAGAAGTATGATGTTTGTGCAAAACAGAGCCACTGACTTCGTAAGAACAGCCAGTGACATCACAGGAAAGTAGGAAATGAAAACTTATCAAGAAACACGAATTGGCTTCATTACTAATCTTTGATTCTAGTTATGTGAAACACAATATAACAACAACAACAACTGGTCAGAAAACTTTCATTTATGTGAAATGCAAGGGTCACAAACCTGTAGAAGAGCAACAGGATCAGCAAAAGTCAATTTGACAAAAGCTTGTCTGTGATTTAAGACATGATACAGATTAAGATTGCAAAGTAAGTCTTTGCAACTCAAACCTCAGGTTTTAAGTAAATTTATTTCTGGTGGTTATTAGTATTCACACAGTCCCGCTTAAGTTAACATTACTATTAAGTAACATTAACGTTCCCACAAACTGTAGCGAAAAACAGAGCTGGAAAACATCCCAGTCTGCTGCTGCTGCTCTTGCTGCCTGTAGATCATTCTCGACAGGGCTGGCTTGAGAGGGCAGCAGCACATCTGTTCGCTGCTGATGGCTGAGGCTCTGATCCTGCAGTCTGATGCACATGGATGGGTTTGCAGCACCTCTGCAGAGCCTCACTGACTCCTCTGGGACTGTCTGTTGGTGCAGGACATTGGCTCCAGGAATCAGAGTGCAGGACTGGGAGCTAGGTCTTCACAGCAAAGTACTTTTTACAAACGAAGGTTTAGCTTAACATGAAGAGCAATGTAAGCATGCTCAAACCTGCCGAGATCATAGCCACAGGAAAGCTGGCAAAAAAACCATACCAATACACACCTGGCTCATTTGGCAGAAGCTAAGCCCTGCCAACTTCTTCACCAGCCAAAATAGTTCTGTTGGGTGAGACTTTGTTGACATTACCGTGGAAGAGTGTAGCACAAACAAAATCCATCTGCTACAGTAGGGCATTTTAAATGCTGTCCTAGGCCATGATCATTTAAACGCTTCCTGTGACTTGTGCTTGCTAACGCTCTCCTATCTGTCACTACTTGCAGGTCATCTGGGATCTGGCATTAAAAAGAGTGAGCTTCAGTGTTATTTCCCTCCTGAAAGGGAAATAACCCCTCCTGAAGGGGAAATAACTTCCTTAACTCAGCTGATATTCATTGGCTTTGAAATTCTGCATGAAATCGTATGACCTGAAAACTTCATTCTGTTACTCCAGGAGGAAAAAATGCCGAACTTCATTCACGCTGTCTTACTCAAGCACATTCTGCTTCCAAGGTTCAAACGGGTTTCAGTGTGCTGACCATACTTGCCTGCTTGCCTTCCCTTCTGTCCTCTCCCACCAGCTGAGTGTTCTGGTGGGATTCTCAGAAGCAGGAAAACTCTCAAACATAAGGAACTGCACAGGCATTTCTTGCTGTCAGGCTAGCATCTGTTGTTCTGACTGCCAGAGGTACACAAAGGACTTTTCTCCCAATAACTCGCGTTTGCATTTATTCCCAGGAAAGTCCAGTGACTGATGGAGGAAGGCTGGATGGATATGCTGTCTCCTGCCCGCAGTGCCAGGTGCCTGCCAGCGTACGCGCTAACGCAGGGGACTGTGAGCGTGCTGCGCTCTGGTGCTTCTTTCTGCATGCAGCCATCCCGCCCCTTTTGGTGGGGGCTTTCCTCACATACAGGACTTAGAAGAAGGCATGGCCGAAGAACTGCATGACGATGAAGCAAAAGATAATACAGCTGCCAACTTTCCTTTCCTTTGGCAGCCTGTTCCTGTTCTGCAGCAATCCGTGTTGAGAAGGGCCTGTTTTCTGCACAGGCGAGCGTTAGCGTTCTGCTAACTTCAGTCTGTTGACAACAAGGTTCATCGTGGATCCTGAGGCATTCTCTCGGGTATACATGTCCCAGGGCATTTAAGGATTAAAGAGGTCTCGCACCTTGAACATAACTTGATAGTCTTTGAGAAGACAGTTATACAGCACAATTTTCACTGCAAATCTCTGCCACTTCACATGGCTGAAATTTCATAAATGCTGCTCAACCACATTAAAAAGTGACCTCTTTCTTATCAGTGCATTTTTAGTGCCCTTCTTGCATTTTCCATAGCAACAGCAGTTACAAAGGGCAGAAGGTGCTGTCCTGTATCATTCTAACATTCTTATATATATTTATTTTTAATTTCTTCTTACCAATACTTCCATGAGACCCAGAGAATGTGTTAATGAAACACAGAAACCTTCCTTGGAAAACCACAAAAGAAATCTCTAATGTGAAATCAAGGAAGTTATTTTTTAAAGACGGGTAGTCAGGAGAGTAGACTAAAAACTGTCATAAATTAAATTCTTCACACCTAAAGTGTAGATTAACAGTAGAAAAACCTATCAGCATGGGACTGCAACACGTACATACAAGAAGAAAGCAACAAGCTAGAGCACAGCTGTGCACACGGTGTCATTCCCATTCTGTACTAGTGATAAAAGGAGTGATTAGCTTCACAGCGCTCTGGGCTAGTGTTAGCGTTGTCCGATTTAATTGTTGGTTGTGAGAGACAAACTAACCAAAATATCAATGCTTCTACTTACTGAAGGTACAAATCCAGGAAAATATCCAACGCCTAAAACTTAACACAGCAATGGTCACACTGCAAGGAATAGACACTGCTTCCAGGAAGGCCTGAGTGCGCTGAACGCCAATAGCATGTGCTATTTGTGCAACGCATCTTCCATACCAAACAGAATAATTTGTAACTGTAGCAGATTACGAAAGAAAATTGAGAAGTCTGAGAACTCTCATCTATATTAGCACAGTTTCGTAGCCATTTACAATCCAGAAATGGAGAGGGAGCTTCGAGAAAGCCAGGAAGTCCCTCTCAAGTGAATCCACAGAACAGATTCTTTGTGGTAAGCTAGGGGCAGATCACCTTTCTGTACCTCTTCTGCTTATTCACAGAGAGACTGTTTTCAGCACAACTGCATGATTTTTGAAGTTTGTCCTGAAATACATGTACACGTGTGTGTGTGTGTGTCACAAAAACGCCCTATGTAAAACCCAAACAAAACCAGTACTTCAGAATCCCCAATTGATTTCATATTCTTTGAAACAGAATACACACATCCAACTTTGGCGCAATGCTTGCTCTTTAAAAAAGGAAGGGAAATAATCACTATCAAAAGGCTAAATGCTGTTTTAGGACTTAATATTTTAGAAGCTTACCTTGCAGCCTTCACATGTAATGACACCATAATGGATTCCTGATGATTTGTCTCCACAGATCTTGCATGGAATAATTTCAATTTGAGCTGCAACAGAAGCACGCAACCAGTTAATTACATTTTCTTTTAAGCACCTTATAAAAGCATTCCCTGATCAGCATTTGTACAGTGAAAACTAATAACCTGCTAAACATTATACTGCATTAACTATTCATTGCTGAACTGCAAGGGTCCCCTAGAGCTTTGGACTAAATTATGGCTGCTCGTTATATAATAGCTTTTGGGTTATTAAAATGGGTCACTTGAGAAGGTGTTTAAGAACCCACAAGAAGGCTAGAATCAGCATTTCAAAGCCAAAAAGAATAGGAGAGTTCATATTTTGGCCAAAGAGCGAAGATGACACTAGAAAGGTTTCTTCCAGTCTTAATCCTGTGAGATCGTAAGAGGTAATTTTGAAGTTTGCCCTGCCTGAAAATGAATGCAGCACCTTTACCAGAGGGGTGACAATCATGCCATCCAGCTCACACAGCTGGCCAAGCCAAAAGAGAGGTAACAAGGTAAAGAGCAACTTCATTTTACACAAGAAATCCAAAATTCCCATATCTGAATTGAAAGTGAATTATCAGTAGGTATTAGCTATCACAACAAGCGAGGGAGGAAAATACAGCAGTATTCTAGTCAAAAAAACAAAGGAGCTGGCGCAGTCTGGAAAATACCATAGAGATACGTGATATGAAAGCCCTGATTTTTTAAACTGAACTTCATACATATAAAAAACTCTGTGTTTATCTCTAAGCCCCAGCAACTTCCCATCTGAACACATGGGTTTAAGAGGGACTGTATGCTCAGGAGTACCTCTTCAACTGCTTTTGGAGTATATGGCTGCGCTCGTTTTGCTACCAAGTCTTTTTGGATAGGACCGTATGGAGGCAGTGCTTTACAGCATCAAAGACCAGAAGTCCACATTTTACACAGACTGAACGCATTAGGTAGATAACCAAAAAACCCCAAGAAAGCCCTTTCTCTGCTGCAAATCAGGCTACGTTAGTTTTCCTGAACCAGCTTAGTCCGAACACAAACACAACTCCTGCTGCGTCTCTGTGATATATTAACAAGCAGAAGTGCTGTTAATCTCCTGCGAGGAACTGAAATCCATTCACAAGATGCCCAGCTGTTTCAGAGAGCTTTTATTTCATCCAGGTTGTGGCTATCCAGACTGTGACAACACATAAAATCGCATCTAAGACTGTCTTACAATATATTTGCTTAACTTCAGGTGTACTCTCGACACTGTTCTCTAAAAGCCCTGTCCACTCTTACAAACAGCCACTAACTCCCTAACCCACTGCTTATTATTAAACAAGAATCGTTTTCCAGTGGTACTGTGTGCTCTGTTTCATTGCAGCCCAGCATCACGGCTCAGGATCGGGCCAAAACTGTAAGATAACTATAAACTAGAGGACCAGAATACTTTTAGTGCAGCAGTGAAATATTCCTTCAAAACATCCTCATCAAATGTGGTGATCAGAGCGGCTGAGTAGCACCCGAATAGTACCCATTTGCTCCCAGGAACCTAGCAGCAGCTCAAATGCCCTGCTGAGGAAAGCAGTGCCCAGCAGCTATGAGACTACATCGCTGTTTTCCTGACAGTTCTGTATCAGCAGCTTTCAAAATATTTTCATACAGCAGGATACTACTTGCATCTGCTTCCGTCATAAGGATCTTGGCATTGCTGACCTTTAATCCCCCACCTTCCCCGCAGCAACAGAATGACAGGCTGAAATTAAAAGGTCTGTTTAGGACACTTAAGAAAGTAAATACTTCTTCCCTGCAGTCCTGCAAAAACTGTTTTAATTTTCACTTTGCTCTTAGCTAACACATTAAGCACAATGGAGCAGGAAGGGAACCAATAAAAGGGAAAAATAAAGTGTATGCTATTTTATTCATGTGTTACATTAATAACTACTAGAGCAGCACATGTTCATGAAGAAAGCTTCGAGCAGAAAGGGTGGTATAACCCCACTGTACATCAGCAAACTGAACAAGAGACTGAAATTCATGGAAACTCAAAATCTGTGTAATGTGCAGTTCAAATTCAGGGAGCAATCCTGAGGGCAAATTCTGGAACAGATGTACCGATTCCCAGTTGTGCCTTTTCAATAAATGATTATTTTTCTACTCTGCTACAGTGAATCAGCAGTCTTCTCCAACTCCTTTGACGGGGCAGTGACAAGGCTTCTTATCTCCACAGCTACATGACGATGTATTTTTTACATGTCACTGTTACATACCCAGTGACTGCCTTATTTTGAATAGGTGTGATATAGTTGGATCCTGTTTATCTGCAGTCTGCAGCACATGGGTTAAATCACCCATGACACCTGTCCATGCAATCCCTTCTCCTGAAGCAACAGGACATTTGTAGAGTGTTTCTGAAGGAACGTAACATGCCTTCCAAGTGGTGGCCCAAAGCTAGGTTACTAAAAGGGGCCATAATGAGTTCAAAATGCACAAAATGTTTTGCAGCCGCACAAAATTAGGTATAATTCTAGAATTCCAGATTTCCTTGAATTTACAACATCTTCAAGGTACTTACATTCCATTAAGCACGCGGCATTTAAAACTTCAACTTCTCCTTTCACTCTGAGATACGGGACAGTGGGATGAAACTCAGAAGCATCAATCGCTTTGGACTGCCACAACCAATTGTATTACAAATTAATGCATGGAAAGAGATCAGATCAATTACTGCTCCACGTGGTTGTCTTTGCAAATCAACTCATTGGAATGGAATCCCTGTCACAAGTTCATACACTTTCCATATAGCATGAAAGGACTTAGATACTTTAAACTCACTAAATGCTAATTGCCTGTGCCGAGATTATGCATTTTTCTTAGGAGGGTGAAAATATTTTCCCCACTTTTAACTTTGACATGCAAATATGTACTTGCTAAAACCTTGTTCTTATGCAAACAAGGCAGGTGGGAAATATTTTTACATGTCAAGAATATGTTCCAACTTGGTTTCTCACATTCCCAGAGTTACTTAAAGCTTCCTGCTGTGCTCACATTAATTGTACCTATTCTATGCTTACATATATTTATATGGTGTATTTTCCAAGATTATATAAAATACTCTAATTCATGCTTTAGACTAGAATTAGCCTAAATTACAGTTTACAATTTCTGTCTCCTGGGGTGGTGCTCAGGCTGAATCTGGTTCATGCATGAGCAAATTATTTGTTAAATATGAATTGCAGAAAAAAAATAAACTCTTGTGGTTGCTTAGAAACCGCTACAGATACCCAGGTGACAGATGTAGTTTGTATTCCCAGATTAAAGGCCTAAGAATCTTTCACACCCTGAAATAACAGTGCTCCAGAATACCGCCAAGGATGTCCTGTGCCAAAGGCAGCAGTGAGTAGGGATAAAAGCCCAGACAGACCACCGAGAGCAACAACTGCAAGCTCAAGCAGAGACCCACCGCAAGCATCGAACAAGTTGCTACACAAACAGCTCCTGAGAGAGAGAAGTGACCATTAAGGGCCAGAGGTGGTAATTGTTATGAACTAGTATCAAACACAAGGCAAACTCGTCTCCATCAGAAGGGGCACTGGACATCCACTACGCTCTCTCAGTATATGTGATGTTAACATGTAGCTGTTCCTATCACTGGCATGTCCTGTAACCTTCCTTCTGCTGTAATGTCGTATGATCCTCATTTTACAGCAGGAAAATTGAATGGGGATTCTTTGATTTGCTCAAAGTCAGATAAAACAGGAACTTGAGCCCAAGCATTACAGGGGAAAAAGCCTGTGTTTTTCCCCCGAGCCTTTCTTCTCCCTCCATGCACTGTGTCTCCACTTGGCAACTGTCTGATGTAGCTCTGGTATGCTCAAACTACACAATTGCCTCCACCTAATTCCTAGTGAACATGCCTACCAGACACCCAGAGAGAGTGCTAAACATCATCTTTCACTGGCATCTGGAACAGAGGAATGTGCCTTATTCCCTCCTACTCCAGGCTTCACTTCTTTCCCCGATTCTGAACAGTTTCGCCGGGCTTGCCTGCCTTTTTCAAGCTCCCGCCACCAACCAACCCCTCTAGACAGCCTCTCCCTCTTTATTAATTCCCGCATCATGAAATGCTACTTTATTCCTTGTCTGGTTTAAGCAGTAGAGGAGAAACAAAATCCAATTCTGTATTTGTAAGGAAATGCCCTGTACAAGCTCATCATCATCTTTAGTTTCCTCTTTTCTGACTCCTTGGGCAGACTGCAATCAGCACAAGAGCCCATACAGCCAAGTAAAGCATGGGGCATCTTTCTCCCCAGTTCTGCCATTTAGGCAGAAACACACTGAGCCTCAACACAGGGGAAAGAATATTACCAGTCCACCCCGAAGAAAACATTTTTCAAAACAAAAAATTATTTCCAAAGACAGAAGTTTTTTCCTCCCTATTAGTGGGCAGAAAAAGGATTTTCCCATTCTTCCTCCTACATTCACACTGTTATTTTAAAACTGTACATTCACACAGATCTCATTATTTTTGCCAACTCACAACAGGTATGAAAGCTGAGATTTGGCATCGCGGGAAGGGCTCTTCAGTGGAGGCAAAAGTTGCCTTTTAAGCAATATTCCCCTAGGTGGCCTGAGCTATCGTGAAAGTTAGGAAATTAGCTGAAGTTAATTGTCTTGTCTGGTTCTAGAGTGATGAGGAAGTGAGGATGAAAGAGAGAGAAAAAGAAAGGGAGGGAGCAAGAGAAAGCAAGAAGGAAAAAGGGAGAATGGGCATGATTCATCTCATTCGAGACAAGCCGGATGAACTCCGGAGTGGAGGTGCCTCCTGTCTGCTCATCAGAGAAGGAATTTAATGATACCTTCGTCACAAGCGTAACTTTTAGTAGGTGAAAGTCACGTGAATCCTAATGCTTCTTACTATTTCCAAATTTTAAAATGAGCATTTTCTGGAAAGGAAATCCTGTGTAGGAAGCGCTCCCTTCCCCACCTGTGCGTACACAGGCACCACCGAGACACCAGCATTTCTATGGCGTTCCCCATCACAGCTCCTGCCCGCCAGCCCTCAGGGCAGCAGTATCAAGAAACTCCAGGTATCCACATTCCTTTTTTAGTCATGAAGCAGCACGTAC